ATTCCAATTCGCCACATTAAGTTGGGATCGTTCCCTTGTGAGAGACCTCACGCTTGTCAGGGCCCGGCACGAGGTTGTAAAGAGGTTTTCGGGAACGAATTCCCCTTTGACCCCAAAATTTTTTTACGTATACCCCTTTGACCCAAAAACTGATCCCAGTGATTGCGCAGTGAACACCTTACCCAGAGAACAAGTTTCATTGAAGAAACAAAATAATTTATTCATGACAAAAAAACAAATAAGATCATATTAGAGATCCTGCAGTGAGGTTAATTAAAGAAAATTTGCACCGGCAATTGGGGGGGGGGGAGAGAGAGGGAGAGGAGATTCATGCAAAAGGTGGGAACAGAGTAAAAAGCTGTAAGTGCAAGCTAGTAAGTGACGAAATATCAAAAACTTAAAGGACCCAGCGACCCGTTATCGATTGGAGCGCGCTTTCCTCCTTAGGAAACGAGGCTGCTGAAGCTATTTTTGGCTCTAGCATGAGGAGAGGAGATGGTTTGAAACTAAATTGTAGGTAGATACTAAGCTTTAGGTGTAGAGTAGATTTCTATAAAAATTCTGGAAAATTTACGTGAATTGAAAGTTTTGCCAACCTCAGGTTGTCATTAGGTTGTCAAATGACAACCCAATTTGAAAAAAAGGTTGGCAATTCTCGCTCTTCATTCACATAAGTTTTTCAAATTTTTCATACTTTGTTACTTAGTCCTACTGCGCATATACACACCAAATCCCGCGCAATTTCGTCACCTTTGCGTTGCAAACGAGCCATTTTTTTGCTAGTGCGAAGTTTCCAGAAAAAAGTTCGCCACAACTTTTACATAACTTTTCACTGAAACTTCTCAGTTAAGCGCTGCAGGCCCGTGTGCATGAATTACCAAGTTTCATACCATATCGTCATCTGTGCGTTGCGGACGAGTCATTTGAATTCACATCTTCACTCACCAGCTAGGCAAAATTTTGGAAAAAATGCTTATTACACCTTCCATTCACATAAGTTTTTCATAATTTTTTATACTTTGTTCCCACTAGCCTCTCTTCGTTCGCTTAAGAACTTTCGTACCATATAGTCATGCATGCATTGAGAACTACTCATGTATGCTGTTACAAATAGCATCGTTTGAGCGACGTCGCGCGTGCGGCAATTAGCGACGGCGCGGTTTGACGCGCGCGAACTCCAGTGTTCGCCTGTTGAGGCACATAACATGTTAAGGTACACAGAGTAACGGCAACAGGCTCAGCTTTGCCATCATAATTATCAATTTTTTCCGGGCTCCGCCCCGGACCCCGCAAGAACGATTTCCCCTTTGCTTTTTTACCGAAAACGATTTTCAGCCTGTCATTTGCCAACCTCTGCCGGGTCCTGACTGTCGCGGATTGAGCCCCCAGCTCCCCACGTCAGTGGATACGGCTCAACTGCATCGGCGTAAAGGAGCCGGGGACCCCCTCCGTGAAAGGGTCCACGTCACTTGGGGCGGTAGCTAGCCTGCACTGAATGCTATTGTGCCTGCCACACGGCATAACGCCTGACTCTTAAGGGCCCTGAGCTACCAGCTCATCTAACAGTAAATGTAGCCTGGGGCGTTGGCTCCGTTTCTCACTACTGACACTTGGGGGTGGGGTGGCCATCACCACTCGGCACTAGCGCGCATCGTGCCAGCCTTCTAACAGATGTAACCTCCTAGGCTATATATGATGATAGCAATACACAACACGATATTACTCGGGGCTGCAGCCGAGCTGCAGCCCACCGCATCGATCAATAACCACAGGCTATCAACTACCCACCATTTATCCTCAACACAGTCCCTACACTCAAACACAAGGGAATGAAAACAACCAGCCAGCTGTTAAAGGCACCGTCCACCCAAAATGGAGGTTGGCGAGATTATGATGGCATACTAGTGTGGGCCCCCATACTAGACGAACCTCCAAGCTTCGCCGCGAAAGACTGCTTCTGGACGAGAAATCCGCTCCGGAAGTAGCAAAGTGGGCGGGGTGACCCCGGTCGCCCCGCCCACTTGCATGCTTCATCTCTCCTGCGCTTGTTGCAGAGGGTTCTCGAAACAGGGATTTTTGGGTTTTCGCGGATTTTCGACTCCATATTCGGCCCCTTTTCAAAAGGCCTGAAGGCGACAAAAACATTGAATTCGAGATTTTAGGTGGACGGTGCCTTTAAAAACCTAGGGGCCAGCAATATCGGAAACCCCCCGTGGCGGTGTCGCCGGCGTGTGCCAGGCGCGAGCGCGCGCGGGGTTACCTCGACTGCGGGGTTGCCTATCCTCCATGGCGTGGATGTAGATGACGCGAGTTGGGGAAGGCGCTGTATCGATCGATGGCTTGAAACGAAGTTGGAACCGACCGCTCACGATGGCGACAGCAGTGAAGACTGACTACTTGACTTATTTGAACGCTGCGCAGGTGAGAGAGGTGAGAGGCGGGACAGCGCGAGGACGGCGTTTTGGGACCCTTCGCTACGAGACGGCGGCCTCCTATAAAGGAAGTCGCGAATCCGCGACACTGAGCCTTGCTCTTTCCAAACCGCTAAGGGAGCTTTCAGACCGTGCCGGTTGCCGCCATTGCAGCCGATAGCCGCTTTCGTGTTGGTTTCCACCTTTGCTACCGAAGCGCACTGGATCAGATCTTGTCCGTAGGGCACATAGCGGGGGCTTATTCACAGTAGTGGCATCCGCAAAAATTTTGATTTTTCTCCCTATTCTTTTTTAGAATTTCTTCTATGTATAGTAAACATTCTGTTGCTAATGTGTTTTTGATCCGGCTTGCGCACTTTCGCTGCTCTTCGATACTAAGCGATTGGATAGTTGTCCGAAGGAGATTTTCTTTTCCCTTTGCGGGAAATCTAGAAATTCGTTTACGCTGAAGTGAGCAAATGCTCTAAACGGAGTTTCTTACTAGTTTTCATTTCTAGGTCACTTTTTACTAATAGGCCGAATTCGTTAGAAACGAGATTTTTTGAACTTCACTGTGCTACCGTCTAGATTTCATTTTGACTATATTGCCATGCTGGGTGAGCAATAAAGTTTCCTTTGTGTAAGGCATTCATAAAATCGTGACGGCGCAACCAATGTCGTCATGATTAAATGACCTATATTTGAAGCTCTTTCGTTATTCTGTAGGGGTGATGTCGTTTTGGGACGAGATTCTGATGTACTTGCCTTTGGTTCTACTTTACTGTGCTAAATGAACAATTTTTTCAAAAGCAGAGTCATTTTGTTGTTTTTTCGTCTTGGGGCCCGTCCATTGTACACTCAGCATAAGAGAAACAGCCAATTTACGAAAACTAGATGATAGAATCCGTTTTGCAAAGGTGATAGAATCCGTTTTATCCTTTACTTCAGTACAGTGAAATAGCTAAAAACCCCAAGTGAACAACATGGATTTTGGCCTGTAGAATATCCTTCACTAGCTGGCTTACCCGGCTCCGCCGTATCTGGACCAAACTTGGCACACATACACTTCGGGCCCCGGCGGGTGTCACAGTCCACTTTTCGTTATCGATCGATGTCGATTTTACCGATTTTTATCGATTTTTTTGCAGAGTTCACCTACAGGGCTAGGAGTTGGCACAGGGGGGGAAGTGAGCATGGGGATTCCGAATACAGTATTGGTTTTCAGAATTATCGATTACTTTTATTGATTTTATCGATTTTTTTGTAAATTTTGACATGCGAGCTGGGATTTTGCACAGGGGGGTAATCGAGCATGCTGATTACGAACACAATATTAGTTTTCAAGATCGTCCATTACTTTTATCGATTTTATCGATTTTTTGAAAATTTGAGTTAGGGGGCTGGAATTTGGCACAGGGGTGTAATCGAGCATGCTGATCATCCCCCTTGGATATGATCAGCATGCTCGATTACCCCCCTGTGCCAACTCCCAGCCCCGTAGCTCAAACTTTGCAAAAAAATCGATAAAATCGATAAAAGTAATCGATAATCCTGAAAACCATTATTGTATTCGGAATCCCCATGCTCGATTACCCCCCTGTGCCAACTCCCAGCCCCGTAGGTGAACTCAGCAAAAAAATCGATAAAAATCGATAAAATCGATATCGATCGATGACGAAAAGTAGCCTATGACACCCGCCGGGGCCCAAAGTGTATGTGTGCCGAGTTTGATCCGGATCGGTTCAGAAATGGAATTTTCTATTCGGAACATACGTACGTACAGACAGACAGACAGACAAACAGACATTCAGCTTTATATATAAGATGCAGCATAGTGTAATAGCTTCCTAAATAAGTACAAAATCTTTTGCGTTACTGCGAATATGTTCGCGCTACGCACCCACGGAGGAAGTCTGAACCCAATGCGCTCCGGCTGCAAAAGCGCAACCAGCGCAAAAGCAGCTACCGGTTGCCCTAGCGGCAACCGGCGCGGTCTGGAGGCTCCCTAGGGCGGGACTAGATCGTTCAACTGAATCGTCTCATCCGTCTTCGCAACAAAAAATCAAGCTCGTAACTTTTGTATCGTTCGATATTCTTTGAGGGGGGATGGACTGAATCCAGCTTTCTACTATTGATTTTTCTGCTTTTACACGAAAGTAATTGCATTAGTGGGGCTCTCCAGGAATCACACATCGTCCATCTTGCCAGGAAGTCGACGAAAACATCGTGAAGCTGTGCTGTAGATTTACTACGGCACCGCTAAGCACGTTTTTGACAGGAGAAATGGTTGAAGCTTGTGAATTTTTCGATAGTTCTTAGCTTGCGAGCATCATCGAAGATTTCGTTATCTTGAGTCTATAGGAAGATAAATGACTTCAAAATGAGGAGTGATTCCCTGATCCCGAAATCACAAAAAAAGTGACGATCTGATTTTGTATGACAGTATCTGGGGTACGAGTACGAGAACCTTCATAACTTAGTTTGAAAGAGAAGAATATCTAAAGTAACGAGCTATGAAATGCCCGTCTTAGATTCCCTCCACTTCTCGCTAGAATGTACGTGCATGCGGGCCTAATTCTTGGCTTATAGATTCGAGTGTGCAGGTGGTCATCCGCGGTGACGCGACTGAGGCTCTACGTTTGAGACGGCGTCAAAAAGAAGAGCAAGAAGACAAAGAAAACAGCGACGATGATGGTACTAGTGTTTAATTTGTGCTATTCATCTCGTAGTTCATGTGCCACAGAGGTCAGTGACAATGAAGGACGTCGTGCAGTTGTGTCTGAACGGCTTGAACTCAATAAGAAAACTGTGATTCAGCCCTATCCGATTTATTTGAAGATCGAGATCGGTTGTCAAGGTAAATTTTTGTTAAAGAAGACGGCTCAGTTTATTTTCTATTTCGAACAAAATTCTTGCGATATAATTTCAGTATCAATGTTTTGTAGATGATGTCAGGGTGGGCCTGAAGTTGTACTACATGCCGGAGCTGCGGGTGACTTGCATGAAGTACAAAATTACTGGTAAATTGCCAACGTATGGGTGAGTGGTTTGTGGAAAAATGCTTTTGTGATAAGCGCAGTTTGGATTTCAAGATAGTGTTGTGTCTCTGGCGCTGTTGCAGTATCCGAGGCGTCAAGTGTACTGATTTTGCTAAAACCCGGTCTCTAGCCCCAGGGGTTTTCGTTATGCTAACCACTAACATCATGCTCTTTCTGCATTTTGGGGCCTCTTCATGGAGTTACGGTAAGTACAGGGGTAGGTCAAAATCTTAGATTGGGATAGTCAGTCTGGAGGGGTTATGCGATATGCGACGTGCTGATCATTAATGTCATACTCCTTGCGTTTTAGGATCTTTTTGCGATAAGCTAGGTATACGGTAAGGGGTCGTCTACATCTGAGTGGGACTTTGCGCAGGAGGGTTATGGCGTGCTGATCACGAATGTCGTACTCATTTTGAATGATAAAACCTTATCTTGAATGGGATCTATATTGGACAAGCAAAAAAGGGTTATCAATATGCACACATCACCATAAGGCGTTAAAGCAGCAAACGGCTGATATTTGTAATCAGCATGTTTAAAAACAAGTGACTGTAGTTTAATACTTAGCGGCAATACCTACATTCAAAGCAGATATCAACTTCGATTACCTACATTCAAGCAGATGTTAGGTTGTTAACTAACATAAGTTTTACAACTTTCCTTTAACTTTTCTCTCTTTGCGTATGGTACTTTCAGACTTCGGCACGTTTAGACTATAAAGCGAGCTCCATGTTCAGCCTTTGTTTGATTTTCTGGCAACGCGCGTAAGGGTTACGGTAGATGTAGGGTATGAAAGAACAATTTACGGATCGGTCCAGATCGTTATATTTCAACTGAAATTTGGTCTAAGGGGTTGTCGACACGTTAATTAAGAGAATCTTATTTGTTTTGCGTGATTGCCTTTTGACAAGGCCACCAAGAAGATATTCTAATGTGACGGCAGTTGAATATGAAATTGTGTTTGGCATGTAGAATCTTATAAACCAGCCGCTCTCCGCCGAACAAACTTTTTGCACGAAACACTTTAGTCTAACTTACGTAGATCGAAGATTATTGAGGACACAATTTTGGCCTTTCAATCAAATTTGAATAAATAAATAAATAAATTAAATTTGAGTTGATATTCTAAGCAACTGACAATGTGCAGTCAACAACATAAAAGGGCTGGATGTGTGTCATGCTGTAAGGGATGAATGACGGTATCACGATGTTGGAAGTGGAAATATTTGAAGGAAGTACAGTACGTGAGAATGGTGTTATAATATGAATATAAGGATGTTGACTATTATTCGATTGATATAGTGATCATGTTTGATCTTGTGGGCGAGTAACATTTCTGATATTTTTGATGAACTTGGCTGATCGATGAATCCCGCATAGAAAGAGATTATTGCGTAATCAAATATCAGTTAGTTATCGAGAATATAAGGTAAAAAAATTAATGAATAAATAAAGAAAGTCAATAATTGAAGCAATAGATATTGAGTTCGTAATAAACATGCATACCTATCCTTTTCTTCCCTCCAGTTTTTGGCCCCAAAAGCGTAAAGTAAGAAAGCATTAGTAAATTGATTTAGCCTAAATTAGCCCCACAATGGTCGGCCGTCCCAACGCTTGGGGGTGGCACTGGATGTCGAAATGCGATGCACAGCCGAGTGTATACTCTGACGGGAACTCCCAAGCTGTAAAGGAATTCGACGTTTCCGGTTTCGGCCGGATGCCTATCTAAGAGCCAACCAGGCCAGATCCCCCGCCGTCTGACTTTTCCGGTCGCTAGACGGTCCTCCCCGCTCCACACCCGGGGTCAGCGACCGCCCCGTGAAAGTCAAGAATAGGCCTAGTAAGTCTGCTCTCGTCGGGGAAAACTTTTCTTACTCGTTAACTCTTAGAGCTTGATTGTCGATCAACCTTGGCATCGTCCATATAACTTTGTGTGATATTTGAGCAGTGGCCAAGATTGGTATCGATCTTTATTTCTCGGCTAACGTTTCGGAGTACAACTCCTTCTTCGGAGCCTGAAAGATCAAAAACTATACGAAACTGTTCTTGTAAGCACTCAGTCACCCAATAGATACTTTTCAACACAAGGTAGTTGCAAGATGAAGAGAGAGACCGTAACCAAGCCAATGCTTACCTCAATAGCCAGCAATGGAGACTACGAGCAGACCACCTAATGGATAGCGCCGTTACTGTGTACTGCTATACCACTATTTATACAGCACAGATGACCTGACCTGACCCAGACCCGTAGGTCAAAAGCCACAAAGAGCTTGATACGGTGCTAATTCGGTCGTCACAGCAATGCACTCTTCTTTGCGGTTCATTTTTGGAGTTTTTGATGCTATCCAAAATGCCTCCAACGTCTTTCGCGCTACTGTATCAGGCTCCTGCGATAAGATGGTGACAGCTACGTCATAATGTTGACCGTCATGGCGTTGCCTGCGGTGGGCACCTAGAGGGGTAGACAATTTCGATTTTTCGAGCCCGTCTAGGTGCTCCTTGACCCGTACGCACAAGGGCCTGCCGGTTTCCCCTACATACTGATCTCCACATGTCTGGCACGTAATCAGATATACTACGCCAGACTCCATGCAATCCCCCTGCTTTCCAAATGGACAAATGACGCAGTTTGGAATTGTGCATAACCGGTCGTAGGCACGATTTCGTGTAAGTTGTTTCCTAAGGTTAGGGGGTGGTATGTACGACTCTTACGTCATTTGCGAGCCCCGCGTGCTGCAGACTTTTCCTGATTGCTCTGCTAAATTCGTCACAAATGAAGGGAACGCAAAACGGAATTTTTGGATTCCAAACTGCGTCATTTGTCCATTTGGAAAGCTGGGGGATTGCATGGAGTCTGGCGTAGTATATCTGATTACGTGCCAGACATGTGGAGATCAGTATGTAGGGGAAACCGGCAGGCCCTTGTGCGTACGGGTCAAGGAGCACCTAGACGGGCTCGAAAAATCGAAATTGTCTACCCCTCTAGGTGCCCACCGCAGGCAACGCCATGACGATCAACATTATGACGTAGCTGTCACCATCTTATCGCAGGAGCCTGATACAGTAGCGCGAAAGACGTTGGAGGCATTTTGGATAGCATCAAAAACTTCAAAAATAAACCGCAAAGAAGAGTGCATTGCTGTGACGACCGAATTAGCACCGTATCAAGCTCTTTGTGGCTTTTGACCTACGGGTCTGAGTCAGGTCAGGTGTGCTGTATAAATAGTGGTATAGCAGTACACAGTAACGGCGCTATCCATTAGGTGGTCTGCTCGTAGTCTCCATTGCTGGCTATTGAGGTAAGCATTGGCTTGGTTACGGTCTCTCTCTTCATCTTGCAACTACCTTGTGTTGAAAAGTATCTGTTGAGTGACTGAGTGCTTACAAGAACAGTTTCGTATAGTTTTTGATCTTTCAGGCTCCGAAGAAGGAATTGTACTCCGAAACGTTAGCCGAGAAATAAAGATCGATACCAATCTTGGCCACTGCTCAAATATCACACAAAGTTTTCTTACTCGATCAGCAAAAAGAAGAGAAAGCCCTGCACATCGGATCCCGCCTACGGCGCCGAGTGGCAGCAAGAACTGTCAGGGAACTCAGGGCGCTTTTCGGATCAAAAAAAAAACGACACGTCTGTCCGGACACGCCATGGAAACTTCCTCATGCTCTGCACTGCACATAAACGAACAGTCTTCACAAAGAACGGATAGTCTCCGTCCAGGCTCTTCTCGACGCTGCAGTGCACATCAAGTACCACGTCATCGCTCTGCAGGAAAAACGAAGTCTTGGAAGAAGGACGTCTAACGGATAAATGATGGAACCCTCATTATTATGGTGAGAAATTCCATCACGAAACGTTGGGGGCGTTGGCTTTGTCTCGACCTATCTATAGTCCATCTTGTCGATTCGCATGAGATCCTGTCACCTCGACTACAGATCCTACGACTACGACCTCCACATCAGAAGACTATCAGCATCACCAACTGCTACTCACCAACAACAGCAGCTGACGATTCAAAACTAGATACTTTCTACGAAGATATGGAGCAGGTCGTCCGCAACGAAAAGTCCTTCTACAAGTATGTTGTGGGCGACTTCAACGCGAAGATCGGGATGCCACTAGAAAAGGAATATATTATCAGGAAGTTTGGATATGGGCTCCGGAACGAAAACGGCAATCGTCTCGTTGGGCTTCTTTTGCCGCACGACTTTTGAATGGAAATTCTATCTTTATGAAGAAAGAACATCGCCGGTGGACATGGGAATCACCCAACGGAACACTCATGTGAAGATCGACCACATTCTTGCCAGCCGAAGTTGGTGCTTCTTGATGTCTTGGTAGTTCCATCCTTCTGTGGTGGTTCCGATGGTTAATCACCGCCTCCTTCGAGCGGTACGGTTTAGTCAAAAGCTGGAAAAGATTGTTTGCCACAGTATTGCAAGAAGAAAGAATGTCGTTTATGACGTTAACAGTCTGAGCGCATATCAAGTTGTGACTAGCCCATCGAGAAGACCCAGTGTACGACTACGACCGGCTTCTGAAAGGATTGCGAAACTGCGGAGAGTGGATAGTCAACGCCAGTGGCGGAACATCTTTGCAAGAGGATCTCAGGAAGTACAGGCAGGCTAAGTATACTGGAAGCAGCCGAAGGAAGAAGAAGTCCTAAGAAGTGCCGAAGAGGCCTTCGTGAATATCACGTGGCGCTGTTTGCACTATTGAACGAGGACGGGATTCCTACTTCTTCCCGATGTAAGATAGAATCTAGTGCGAAGAACTTTTATACCAACCTCTTCCGCTCACCAACACCCGTGCCGATGCCCGTTGTTCCCACTGGAGAAATACCACCACGAATTCTACCTGCTGAAGTGCGCACGGCGATTCAGATCATGAAGACACATACGGCTCCAGGACCAGACCATCTTTCCGTCGAATTTCTGCGAGCCGGAGGACAGCGTCTACACGAGATTCTCGCGTCGCACCTGACATCTTACACCTTC